GTGGAACTGGCTTGGGTGTTTACTCTCGCGGTCCGGAAAACACCTCTCCAAGTGGATTCTGAATCTGACTTCGATTTTAAAACAGAGAAATGCAGAACTGCATCCAGGCTTGAGTGTTTTGAATTTACGTCGCTCCCGGGCCGGAGCTGTGCCGTCGTTGGTTGTTGTGCATGTTGTAGCAGATCGAATCGTGCTCGTGAATGATTATTGCACGATCCACAACCCTGCACGTACCGGTATGACATACGAATGACGCGACTGCGACCACTGCAAAGCAAAAGCAAGAAAGCAATTCAATTCGCTTTTTATAAAGAGCATCAGAGAGGAATACGTACTGTACAACCCACAACAACAACTGAAAGCAGCACAAACTCAAACCAATCCTCTCTTTAGAAAGAAAGGACAGCAACGTCGTTGTTACATAGTGTATCTAGATAGTGAACCATGCCGCCTCAAAACCGAGCCCGTATCGCTGATAGCGTCGACGGCCCATTGGCACCACAAGACAATAATAGTACGGGCGAGAGCCGAAATTCTTCCGAAGAACAACATCCAGGAGACGGCGACGACGGCAGCCCTGAAGTTGTTTCGTGGCGACCACTGTATAAGTTTGGCATTCTGCTTCTATTGGATGGCGTAACATCGACTCTGTTTCTCTTGCCGATTTTCCATCCCGTTGAACAATGGGAAGATATCAACGAACAAAATCCCTACCAATTTTCCATGGCTCGCTCTCTCTATGATGTGGCCATACTGTCGTGGCTGCGTCTCTTGTCGGCCCTGGTGGCGTTGCTCTTGGCATATCATCGCCCTCGACGACAAGAAGAAGATGATGATGACTGTCATTCTCACGACCACTTGAAAACCAAAGAAGAGTTGGAACAAGAAGCATTGGAAGAAAGTTGTCTGGTCAAACTGAAACGGCATGTGGGACGCTATTCCATTGGATGTGAACTCTTGGTGATTGGACCAGTGTATGGATCTCCATCAAAGCCATGGCGCGCCTCAACGTCGAAATTGGAGTGTACAATGAAACCAAACCAACGCATCCACTCTTTTGGTTGGCACTGGCCATGACGGGCATCTGGTGTTTGTTGGAATGTGCCTACATGGATGCCACTGAATCCTTTGTGTGTTCATTGTCCACCAAAACAACAACCACAACCACCACGCCAGAAACACCAACAGAAGACTTGACACAACCACTCATATCGTCGTCAGGAGGAGGGGAACACAACAACCAACGACAACAAGCCAAAAGCAAAAAGAAGAAAAAGAAACACAAGGGCAGTAGTGGTTTGGACGATAGTGAATATGAAGCAACTTGGTCGGACATTGTACTCTTTGTCTTGCCCGATCGTCACTGGTTGCTCTTGGCCACCCTCTTTCTCTTGGCGGCTTCGGTCTGCAACGTCTTTATTCCACACTTTACGGGCAAGATTCTAGATGCCCTCGTGGCACCCCACAACAACAACACGGACGACCTCATGGCGGATGACAATGACAATTCCATTCTCCATATTCCCGGATTCGTCGGCAACATTGAAAAGCTGGTTCTAGTGAGCATATTAGGTGGAGTCTTTAGCGGTTTTCGAGGCGCCATCTTTTCCGTCGTGGGAGCTCGCTGCAATGCTCGATTGCGCATTCAACTCATGGACTCGCTCCTGTGTCAAGACATTGGCTTTTACGATACCACACGCACCGGCGAAATCACCAGTCGCATCAGTAGTGACTGCTCCGTCGTCGGATCCGCTGTCACCAACAATGTCAATACATTTCTACGATCCATTGTGCGAGCGGCTGGGGTACTGATCTTTATGTGTTTCATCAGTTGGCAATTGTCATTGTTGGCCTTTTTGACCATTCCCGCCGTATCCATGACCTCCAAAGTCTATGGACGATATGTCCGAAAACTCTCCAAAGCACAGCAAAAGAAACTGGCCGAAGGAAACAATGTATCCGAGTGTGTCATTTCCTCCATGAGCACTGTAAGAGCGTTTGGAGCTGAGAAAATGGAAATGAAAGAGTTTGTGGAATGCATGGACAAGTTTCTACGATTCAATCTACAGTCGGCGGTGGCAACCTTTGGGTATCAAACCTTTATTGGAGCCTTGCCACAGTTGGTAAAGGCATTGGTGTTATTCTACGGTGGACTCCTCGTTCAGTCTGATCGAAACCCCATGACGGGAGGGCAACTCATCACCTTTATCTTGTACCTGACGACATTGGCCGAATCGTTCAACAGTCTGGGGGGCATTTATGCTTCGTTGAGTCGGGCCGTGGGGGCATCGGAAAAGGTCTTTGCTCTTATGCATCGCAAGCCGAAAAGAAGCATCCCAAGGGGACCACCTGATGAAATCAACGATGTTCTGCCACTGGACGGGGACATTGAGCAACAACCTCTGACAAGCGAAGCAAACGACAATCAAACACCGCCCAATGCCGAACTGGAGGAAGAGAAGAAGAAGAGCTTGCTACGACTACTTCTTAGCCCCAGCGAAAAGCCAAAGAGTCTGGTCGAAGAGGCATATACACGTGGTTTGTACACACCGGATGACCAACCTGGCGAGATCACGTTTCACAACGTAGAAGCCCGATACCCCGCGAGACCGCAGCGTGTGGTATTGGATGGGCTTGACCTTACCATTCCGGCTGGAAGCATCTGTGCCCTGGTGGGAAGCAGTGGGTCTGGGAAATCAAGCATTGTCAAGCTGATTCAAAACCTCTACGAACCCAGCAAGGGAAGTGTGTGCATTGATGGCGTGGATGTACGAGAATTAAGTCAAGAATGGCTGGCAAAACATGTGGCGGTTGTATCTCAGGAACCGACACTGTTTGCTCGGTCTTGCAGAGACAACATAACCTACGGATTGGAAACCACCAATGCCGACGGAGAAAACAGCGCAGACGGCTCTGCCGTGGTAGTATCTGACGAAAGGGTCAAGGGGGCTGCCCGTTTGGCCAATGCAGACAGTTTCATCGAACGGTTGCCGCAAGGATACAATACAGAAGTGGGCGAACGGGGGATCCAGCTATCTGGAGGACAAAAGCAGAGAGTTGCAATTGCTCGTGCCATTGTGAGAAACCCTCGCATACTACTTTTGGATGAGGCGACTGCTGCGCTTGATTCGGAATCAGAATTCATTGTGCAGCAGGCCCTTGACAACATGATATCCGCACAGCGGGCTTCGGCAGAGCATTCCAGGTCTCCCATGACGGTTGTCATGGTTGCCCACAGATTATCCACGGTTCGAAACGCGGATATAATCTTTGTAGTGGAGGGCGGCAAGGTTGTAGAAAAGGGGAACCATGCCGAACTCATTGCCAATGAGAACGGCGTGTACAAAGCGCTGGTATCAAGGCAAATGAGTTCAGACTAGAATTAATTAGCGAGGCAATTAGAACATTAGAAATTTCAAATTGCTATCTCCTGCCGATAGCCTTCATCTGATCTCTTTGTGTGGGGTGTCGCTTTCCGTGCACATTCCGGCATTGTTCAATCGCGGAATAATTTGCCAAACACAACTCTCCTTTTTTTAAAGAAAAACAGCGGCGATAGAGTTTCCGCGTCGGCTCCTCATTGGGGCCTAGAAAGCTTCCACGAAAGGAAGGATACCGCTGATGGTGCTGTCACAGCAAAAACTCTCTCTTTCATGCGGCGGGTGCCGTTAGACACCTACTAGATATCGGAAGGTACGGTAGAGTTTGAGAGGTTTTGAACCTACGCGCCAAGAACACCCAAGACTCAGAACAATCAAATCATCGAACGGTTTCATCCGCTATCCATAGTAATTGGTTTGCGTATTATTGCGTTGGATAATACATTGTGCTGGTTGGATTCCTGTTGCAGTGCCTTCCACAAAAAGTCTTGTACCTGTCTCGCTGTAGCTCGTTGTTTGGGCCTTTGTGTCCAGCACATGCGAATGGCAGTTATAAGTGCCTGGATGAGCGTATCTGTACTTTCCCTCCATTCCGCTTCAATGGGAGGACGCCATCCCTTGAGGATTTGTCGTCGCATACTCGCTTCGGTACCGTTCATGACAATATCATGTCCCGTCAGGACGTGGTACAAGACATTGCCCAAAGAGTAGACATCAATTTTTTCCGTTTGAGGCACAATGAGTTGCATCTCTTCGGGTGATCGCGTGATTTCAGGGTCCGAGTTGCGAAACAAAAAGCCACAAGTAGAACGTGTTTGATTGTTGCGTAGCAAATGGCGGCCCCGATTGAAATCGGTCAATCGGAATGTGGGGATATTACTGTTCTTGTCGTCGTCCACCCTTACAAATTGACGAGTGGCAATATCGGTGTGGGCCATCCATGGTTCACCTCCTACTTCCCAATGATGTACATCTGCCAGCGCCGATGCGAGCTGGTGTGCCAATTGTACCTTTTGTGGGGGTGTGGTTTTTGCCCTTTTCCGCAGATAGTGTTCCAAGTCTCCACGGGGAGCAAACTCATAAAGAGCCGATGTGCCACAATAGGCATAAATATCCAAAATGCGAGGCGATGCTGTCAACCTGCCACTGACGAGAGCATCCATGCCATGTCGTTCGAATTGTCGCACGTAATACTCTCGTTCGTATTTGAGTGTCTTCAAGGCCAATGATAACCTCCTACCCTTAATAGTAGTCCTGCTGTTGCCGGGATGGACGTGAACATCCTGCACTTTCCACACCAACCGGTATCCCCCTACTGCGAGAAACTTAGTGTTGTGCGGCAACACTATGGATTCGTGTAACTGATTGCAGGTGGGAAAGTAGAGTTGGGCTTGCCACGCATGCATGGGATGGCAGTACTCTTGTCCCGGAACATCTTTCCATGGTTTCCCTTCATATCGTTCTTCCTTGGTCAATCCATGGTCATTTTGTCGGATGCGCCACGCCATCATGGCATCTTCAATTCGTTCGCGAGGCTTGATTTTTTTTCTTTGTCTCGTGTAGGCTTGAATGTCCTCCAACGTGATGTTGGTTGTCACATAGACAGCAGAGACATTAGCAACTGATGTCTGTGTTGCGCCGTAGGAAATGGACAGAATCCGAGGTTTCGAAGCCATAATGGAGGAAGGTACACTGATGGAGGATGCAATATTGGTAATCCTGACGGTACTTCGAGTAGAAGCAACATCCAAGACGTCTTTGCCGTCATTCTGGTCTTGCCAGTAGTGGTGATTCAGCAATGAGGATCCAATGCAAAGAGTCCAAGCAATACAGAGAACCAACACCAACAGCGCGCTTCTGGCAGCCGTCCAACCACATGGATGCTGAATAATACATGAGGAGGAAGATGTATTGCCAGCTGCAGAAGGTGCTTTTCTCATTGGTGATCCGGCTGCTGTCTCTCGCATCTCGCATGGGACATGAAAGGGAGTTTGCAATGAAGGCGCTTTAAGTTACGGCCGTTTGCTATGATGACTTGAAGCAAGCCAGCACGAGCTGTCTCAGGGAAAGATCTTCCCGGGTTCAAAGTGGCTTGACTGGCTTATATCTTTTGGATGAGGCTGATCACCACAACAAACAACCAGAATGCTTCGACACAAAAGAACAATAAGCTTGGCCGCGACTGCCCAGCTCCTGTGGATTGTCCTCATCACAGTAACAGTGACGCTTCCACCTTGCCACGCGCACACGGCCATCTTGTTTGGTGCCAGTGGAACGGTAGGATCCGAAGTACTACGGGCGCTCCTCGCAAACCCTTCGTTTTGGAATGAAATCATCCTCGTCGGACGGCGATTCCCAACGTTAGAGGATTCGTCAACGCGTATCACCAAAGTACAGGTGTCGGACCTTGCCACTGTAGATCAAAACAAAGACTTGCTACAACTGGAGCATGTGGATGCCTGTTTCAACGCCGTTGGCGCGGGCTATCCCCAGAAACTCTCCTTGTCTGATTGGTATACCGTCGATGTCGGCATTGCTGCCTCGGTGGCCCGTCTGTGTCAACAAATTCCGGGTGTGAGCTACATTTCTTTACTCTCGGCCGTCACGGCCGAAACCAACCCCAAACCGTACACAGCAGAAGAAATGGAGCGTTACAATCCTAAAAAACCAATGGGCTGGTGGGGACTATTGATGCAGTACGATCGCATCAAAGGATTGGCAGAGCAAGCCGTCATGTCAACAACAACGTCTTTTAATGGACACATTTCACTGTTTCAGCCATCGACCATTGTGACCGAGACAGAACGATATGGTTGGTTGGATTGGACACTGTTCCGGGTTCATCCTCTCGTGGATCCGTGGTTGCCTCCGCGGTATCGTTCCGTCAAAGTACAGTTGTTAGGCATGGCCATGGCCATGGATGCGCAAACATATGTTCAGGACAGTGACGACAGCAGCAGCAAGTTCACCAGGAGTATCCGCACAATGTCGAAATTATCATATTTGGGTTACATATACATAGTCGAGGAAGAACCCGAAACCGTGGAGTGAGAGAAAACCAAAGAACTCGAGCTATAACTCATTCACAAGAAACGAATAAATAGCGCTAGTTCAAAGTTAGCTAGAAATCTTGGAGTTCAGTGTAGCAGCCGCCAATTGTCCCAGCGTTGGCCATCAACTCTACTCCCGACACAACTTCAAAAAGTCAGCTTGTTCCCGCTTGCGGTGACAGCGGGTGCGACTCCGACACTTATAGCTACGATGTCAATGTTCCGCCAATGGAAAATCCTTGAAAGTCATGGAAATTTCCGTTCAACATGTACCCAAGACAACCCCCTGGTGGAATCCAAAAGTCGGAAGATGGGAAAGATGGAAAGATCACGATCTTGACTGTAGTAGGAAAGCCAGCGCGAGCTGTGTATGAGGGTGCCCTCATGAGTACCACAAGAGCACCACAAGTTAGTTTTGATGGTTGATCCTCGGCCAAGACCATACTGTACAGAGGACTGGATCAACCTGGAAGCGAACCCCTCGGGGTACCTGAAACCAACCCTTGGTACCCTCAATTGGCTTCGTCCACCTTCCTGTCCATATTTTAAATAGTTGTTAGACCTGCTTCAACTATTCTTTCATTTTCGACCGTCCGCTACCGTCCGCTACCGTCTTCCAACCCCTTCCACCATACTTACATTTTCCGCCCACACCACTCTTTTGCTTGCTTCCATTCTCAACCACCTTCAACATCTCCTTCAACCACCACCTTTGAAACCTCCTTTGGACGATCACTTGAAAGCTGGAAATACGGAGGAGTCAGTTTCAGGCATCCCCAGGTTCCAGACCTCTAAAGCACGGCAGACATCGATAGCAAAAAGCATTCAGCATGGAAAAGGCAATGCTAAAAGAAAAAGCACAAGAACACCAACGTCGTTTCAACAGTAGGGAGAAAGACGTTCTGATGGGACTTCGAACAAAGTTTCGTGAGAAGGAAGACTACGATGACGAAAGCAAAGTCAAAAGATTACTGCAGGATGCATCGGAGGTGGACAAACGGATTGATTTGACCAGGAATGGAAAGGTCAGTACCCAAGACATTGGTAAAACCATCTCAGAGATAGAGAAACTGGCTAAGAAACGAGAAAAGCTCCTCAGCAAGTCTAGTTTCAAGAAGAAATATGCGAAGATCAAGGAAAGGCTCCAAGTTGGTTGGGAGCAACAAGAGCTGGAACAATCGGTGAGATTGCAAGAAGAGAAAGCAGCAGCCGAAGCTTCCGCAAAGGCTGATACAGAAAAGGAATCCTTCAGAGCACGCCGAGCAAAACAACTCAAAGTTGCCGGTCATCCAGCCGCAAACAACCTCAAGTTTGCTTCCTTGCGACCCTCTGAGCATCATGTGGTTCATCGTTGGAAGGACCGTGGCTTGACGTCTATGACACTCCAGGACTTCTTGGCCCAGATTAATGATGCGAGAATCTTGTACACTTTGGAACCGTGCGAGGGCGACAAGGGGCAGCCACAGTGGGAAGTGAAGGTACAGCGTCTGGAAGAAGGGAAGCAAGTTGCACTGATATTGAACCGAGAAAAAACGACGATCATCACTGTCCTTCGCGACGATGATGAGTACGATTACAAAAGGAACGACCATAGCTTTGCTCCCGCAGGAAAGATTGCCGCGGAGAGAGCGACCAGCTCAATGAATGGCAACTGAACGCAGTCTGTTGGCTGTCCAAGAGACGGCTAGATGACGAAAGTATAGTCTGCCCAACGTATCTGCCCTGGACCCTGCTTTACATTACTAGTAGTAATGCTGCTTCAAAGCTCAACTTGGTATGCCATACAGTTAGCACTATGGCATAGTCACAGGGTGGTTCAAAAGAAGTACACTGTAAGTGTGTCGGATGTAGGATAGGTCCCTGACAGGAGAACTCCAGTAGCCAACAAGATTTGGATCCAAGAACTAATCCATGCAGGTCTCACAGTTCAGCCGGCTAAGAGTGGCCAGGAACACAACAACTTTGGGTTGAGGTGCATGTACCACTACTAGCTACTAGCTAGAGCTACTAGCTATCTAGCTAGCTGGCAAGTGGTACCGGTACCGGTAGCTAGCTACCTGGTACCAGGTACCGGTACATGTGACAGTATTCACATCATAAAACGTTAGCTTTAACCCTATATCTGAACGTACCAATCGAAGTAAATCTTTTATGGGGGTTTAGAGCAGGGTAATTATCTAGTAGGGAAGCCAGCCGGCAGCAAGCTTGCACTGACTGTTTGTGACTGTTTGACCAAAGCAGAGCTACAAATAGTTGTCCTCATCATCATAATCTCATCACCATCATGTCATCCAAGCCGAAAAGCAAAAAGCAACAATTAAACTCTTATGCTCCTGCATTGTTGGAGCAAAAAGATGTTTGGATCAATGGCATCCTTCCGTTTGTGGGCATGGGTCAGTATGCCTTTGTTGGAGCCGTCAACAAGAAGATGAATCACCTCTACAAGGAGTACTGTGATTCTGTGGAGGATCCTCCAATGGTACAGAATCATCAAAATGGTAACAAAATCCAAGCAACCAGCACAGTCACAACCTACAGTGCTGCTTTCTACAATGAGTCCACAGCAGAATTATGGCTCAGTGACAATTCCGACACTAAATTGCCTCAGCATGACACAGTGTGCACAGCCATTGCCAAGCATGGAAACCTTAGAGTCATTCAGTGGGCCTATGAGAAAGGATTTCCATGGAATAAAGATACATGTGCTGTGGCAGCCAAGGGTGGGCATCTTGATGTTTTAAAATGGTTGCGTGAAAATGGTTGCCCATGGGACATTGATACTTGTGCTGCTGCAGCCAAGGGTGGGCATCTTAATACATTGAAATGGGCCCGTGAAAATGGCTGTCCATGGAATGTGGGCACTTGTGCAGAGGCTGCTGCAGGTGGGCATTTGGAAATACTGACATGGGCTCATGAAATGGCTGTCCATTGAATGTGGGCACTTGTGCAGAGGCTGCTGCAGGTGGGCAATTGGAAATACTGAAATGGGCACGTGAACATGGCTGCCCGTGGAATTCACATACTTGTAACTATGCTGCCGGAAGTGGACATTTGGAAATACTGAAATGGGCACATCAAAATGGCTGCCCCTGGAATGAATTCACTTGTGCATATGCTGCAGGATGTGGGCACTTGGAAATACTGAAATGGGCACATCAAAATGGTTGCCCTTGGAGTGAATTCACTTGTTCAAATGCTGCTGGTGGTGGCCATTTGGAAGTAGTGAAATGGGCACGTGAAAATGGTTGCCCTTGGAGTGGATTCACTTGTGCATATGCTGCCAATGGTGGGCATTTGGATATGTTGAAATGGGCCCGTGAACATGGCTGTCCATGGAATGCCAGTACTTGTTCATTTGCTGCTGGAAGTGGACACACAGATGTTCTGGACTGGGCTCTTGCCAATGGATGTCCAGATGAAGAGGATGAAGATTTTTAGGATTACTACTCAATGAGGGAGAGGAAAACGATCGCAAACTTTTTGAAGAGGCTACTATAATGCATACAAATTGCATATGGGTGGCGCACCTGAAAACTGACAACTTCTCATACTCAAACCAGAAAGCACCTCTTGAATGCAGTCCCTTGTCCAAGAGCTGGCTGGCTGGATGACAAAAGCATACCAGTAAAGTCTGCCCAACGTATCTGCCAGGACCTTGGTGCCGTGTTGTTGCTGTAGTATCCAGCAAGTACATTGGTTCTAGGGTAAAGGCATTGTCTTTTTGCTGTTGAAAAACTAGTGTCTGGTACCGGTACAGTACCGGTACGGTACGACTGTAGCTATCGCTAGTTCCGTACCGGGAAGGGTGCCCTTTTCTCTGGGTGGCCTTTCAAAGCAAATTAGCTGGCTTACCAAAAAGATCGCTCCGCGACCCACGCAAAGTGGTACCAGTACCGGTATCCACGACTGCCACCTTCGAGTGTCATCGTATCCAAGCTGGAACCTGCTCTCCGCCAATGGTGGAGTCCCCACTCTACTAGTACCGCAAAAAGCGAAGCAACATTGGACGGTAGACTGGGAAGCAATCGTTTCCATAATCCCTATTGTGAGCGACCGAACTTATTCTGCACGCTGTACTTTGCCCGAGAAGATAGACGAACCCACTCCACACGAGAATTGAACGGACCCATGTTTGCTCAAGTTTTCGCCATTGCGATATCGTCTCTGATTGGCTTGGTCGGTATCATGTACATGGTAGATCCAGCTGGCTCCATGGTGGCCGCCGACATTCACATCGAGTCGCCCGCGGGGAGGACCGAGATTCGTGGAATATATGCAGGAATTCACCTGGCTCTCTCATCCTTCTTGTTTATCAATGTCTTTGGCGACGACAGCTTGGCCATATGCTTGCTGTTGATTTTGTTGTTGTTTGGATGGGCCGCGGCTGGCCGCATGGTTGGGTTTCTGCAAGAAGGACTCGATAAAAGTGATAGATACAACGTCATTGTGACAATCATCGAAGTCGTCTTGTCTGCAACATCCGCAGCTCTGTACGGTACTCAATAACAGCACGCTAAAGAAGAACAACTTGCCATGACTGCCGGAGTGGAGATGAGTTCTGCATTTCCAAAAATTTATACTCGAAACAATGACGAAGGCGTTTTGGGAAGTTTTCGGTTCTGCCATAGTCAGCAGGAGAAAGTGTACTGTCAGCTTTCCTCCGAGTGTCTTTCTTGTGCTCGGCTGCTTCCTGGTTCTGCCTGGATGTCATGGAGGCTCATTCTTCCTCCCTCCCGAAACTCTTTCATAGGGGTGCTTTCAAAGTAGCTCTGCGGGCTTATAGCTTGCTCATGTTATGCGTTGAGTTTCAAAACTGGTCAGCCCGCTTGCCCATGGATCTTTCGAGATCTGTCTGGCCAGCTTTGACAGTTCGAGATCTTTTCTTTTGTTGGCACTTCGTCGGTGGCAGATCCTCATAATGATCAGTTAGTTGATGATCTGCAGCGCTGACCAGGTGAGATCGTCCGCTCAAGATGATGACCGTTTTGGTGCTTCATTAGCTGCAGATCGTTGTTGTCACGGTATTAGTACCGTAGCTTTGACGCGAGGCTGTCGGCCGCGGTAAGCTACCGAAGATATCATTCGCGATAATGAACCACGAGTACACTCTCTCTCTCACTTCTTCGCGTTATCAGCCTCTCACTTCTTTCGCGTTAACTACCTTCTCAGGTCAGGTGACCGTGTTGTTCTTGCTTTGCAGAGTGCAGAGCGAGTCTGCTCCGTCGTTGCTCTTATCATTAGCATTGTCCAAAAGATCGTCGGAAGATTTTTCGTGGGATTTTTGTCGATAACTTGGGAGAGAAGGAGGTGCCGCTGCCCTCCACATCGCACCTGCAACGCTGCCTCGTATTCGGTTCGCAGCCACTAGCTAGGTAAGTGCCGTTCTCAGCTACGATGGAGATTTCGCATGTCCGAATGGCGCTTCGGTACTTCGTGGTCTGGTCGTAGTAGTGTGCTCGTCAGAAGAACTGAACTCTACATTTATTTGATTTCACATCGTCAAGTACCGATTTCTTAAAACACGGCTTTATACCACGCCAACCAAGGTCAACGTTTCCAGTTACCTTTCGCGTCCAGCGCAGTCTCACCTCCTTCGCGTTAACCGGCTGTGTTGTCTTCCTTCATAGCAGAGTGAATCAAGCCATGTCCAATTCTGCTGATCCCCCTCAAGGGGGGTCTGCCAATGAAACGAAGCTTTCAGTCAGTGCTCTGACACTATCGGACTTTGAGAAGCTGGGAAAAAGGATGGGCGAAGCCATGAGTGCTGCCTTGAACATGCCAACCGCGGAAGAAAAGGAGCGCGCGGAGTTCATGGGCGATGTGAAGACCAGCTGGAGTCTCTTTTTTGCCAGAGTGTCTACCCAGCCTGAGTCTGGCACCACGAAAGTCATCCCGGCTCTAATGACAAAACAATTCAACGAAGTCCTGTCTGCGTGGACTCCTGGTTACGCTCAAAAGAAACTTATTGCTGTCCTCGAGGCTCAACTCTGTCGGAGCGAAGAAAGTAACGATTATCGCGATCGTTCCGCTTGGTGGGATTCCAAAGTGGCGAATGGCGCTTTTACAACCTGCGTGAGAGCCTGTCTAATCGAGAGAAAGCATCCTGGTACCGTTGCGACTGCGACGAGGCCGAGACCAGGTTGTCGCTTTTCGCCTTTTTGCCTACCAACCACCAGTCTGCAGGCTTCAAGGATCTCCAGGAAGAGCAATGTGGATTGCCCTCGGTCCTCGTGTCGGGTGAACAATACACTCCATCCACCAAGCTCGTCGTCTCTTCCGGGACACTGGCAACATTCGAAGATGTTCGAGTTGCCCTTTTGAACTTTCGGCAGCTGGGGTTAGCGTTTACGTCCCAGTTTGACGAGTCCTATATTTGGACTTTGTTTGCTCGCATAGAGAAGCTACTTGGTTCCCGAGAAGGGCGGCAATATGTCCACTCCTGGTCACCATCGTCCAGGCCCCAGGTGGCCGTCAATCTCCTTCTAAACCTCCAAGCAGTCTGGAATAAGATTGCCGACATCGCCAAGAACCCCCTTCGCATCAAGGCTGTGCAGGAAAACCAAGAGATTGATGCCGAGGTTTTTGACTCTGCAAAGTTGTGTTTCGAGATGGTCGAGCAGGAGCTGCACTCTATTTTTAATTTTTGCCGCACGCACTACATTCCAGAACGATACAGGGAGATCCCTGCAGGTGCAATCAAGGTCCTCGGCATGTCAGCGGAAGAATTCAACCTGACAGCCAAACGGGGCTTGGTGGATGATGACGATGGTCGTGCCGCGAAAAAGCTCAAGGCTGATGACCGAAAGAAAGCGTTGGGTATTCTCGAGTACATTTTGACTCCACTACCAGCGGAACCCATGTCTCTGATGCCAATCTCTGGCCAAAGTGGAGAGTTGGTGCCCTGCTCCCATTTTTGCTTTCGTGGTTTTCGGTGCTCCAACAATAAGGCATGCACCCGTGCCCATGTTTCCAGTTTCAAGTCGTTGAGTGAGGACGATCAGAATGCATTCCTTCGCTTTGTGTACCAAAACAAGGAAACCATTCGGTTTGCTCCAGGTTCCAGCTAGCTAGTAGACAGTTGATTGAATAGTACGGTACAGTAAAGGTATCGGCATGGGCTGTGATTGGTTGCGGCCAGGTCGAACGATGGAGGTTCTGGAGTTTTTGGTGACAGCACGATCAAACGACGCACCATCAAAGTATTGCACGTAGTGTCTCGCATTTGCATTTGCATTAGTAGTATTTTACGATCATGGATTTTCTGCGTCATCTCTAGCTAGCTAGATGGCTGGAGGGAGCAACAGATCCAGAGCTTGCTTAGCGGTTCGATCCAATTACGCGCAGTGTGGTGCAGTGCAAATCCATGATTTTCGTCTTTTGGTGCGACGAAGATTGAATTCGATCGATTCATTCGATTCTAGATTCTTTGAAGCCTGCGAGCCAATTGCGCCACTCACATGCATGCATCACTCTTCGCATCAAAAATTCTCCGAAACAACGGCCAAAACCAAAGAGAAGCGGCAAGACAGCAGGAAGAAGCGCACTAGCTAGTAGAATACTCGAATTGTAACATCCATCAAACCCTCAACTGGTTCTAGCTATCATAGAGAGCTGATTCCGCAGTTCTTCTCACAGATTGTGGAGAGTGATAATAGAGCGAGAGAATCGACTCGACTCGCAGACGGGAAAAGATCCATTTGAGAGAAACTAACTACGATATGAACGACGACGTACGACTCCGCCATTTGGGACAGGATGATAATGACCCTCGTGCCACCATGAAAGATGTGGATTTTCCAAGCGCCATCTTTACCCAGAGCAATTGGAACGGTCGAGTATCTCGTGAGAGCTGGTATGGGAAGCATGGTCCATGGCATCGGGTTTTCTTTTTTGCCATGCTGTCGAGTTGGGCGTGGACGCTGTACATGTTTTTCTCGCTCGCCTTGAAGAATAATGAAGACAGCATTCCCCTTCTCTTGGCCACGTCGGAGCAGGAATTGAATGCCATTAAAGAGTCCCATGGTCTTTGTTTGGAATCGCTGTGTCAAGAAATTGGACGAGGCATTGATGTGGATTGTGTGGTCAATGAAGATGGCAAGACGGGTCGTACGGAATTTGGAGCGAATGTTCCCTCGCAAATATTCTTTCCCAAAGCGTGTCACGATGCTACCGAAGCTACCTTGGGATTTCCGTTTTTGGATGGAGATGAGGAAATGGGGATCGCACCAGTTGCTTTTATCTCCGTGGCCAAAGATCCCAACATGGGTCAGAATGAAACGGTCGCCATGTTGGAGGCACAGAAATCACTCTTGACGCTACTGCCAGAGTGTGCCATTGTGGTCAATGCGGCAGCACCGGTAGTTTCCCAAGAGGAAATGGAATCCATTAAAGAAAGCCTCAAGTTCAATAATAATGACCACGGGGAATGGGATAAGCTATTCGAAGAATTGAATCAACAAGAACCACAACCACTCGAAATGGCACTCACGTTGGATTTGCTCAGCTTGACATCCCAGCAACAATATACACCCGGCCATCGAGAAACACACGTCTTGAAAAAGCTATTTTGTCCCGAAGATATGCCACCCGAAGTACAACAAAAAGTCATTCCAACCCTGCAAGTGATCTACACATTCTTTATGGATTACCGCATTGAAATGTTGATCATGTTTCTATTCGCATCCCACAGTGTCCTGTCGGTTGGAACCGTGTGTTGGCTCGTTGTGCGGCTCATCTTGCCCGCCATGCTCATGAAAAAATTTCTGTCGTGGCCTCATCATGCCAGCAATATTATTTCCTTTTGGGATATTTGGAGAACGTTAATTCTTCTCTGCATGGTCTCCAGCTATGGACTCTCTTCTCCCGTCTTGTCGGTAGTACTCGCATTGGGAGCTTGGGTCCTTTGTGGAGATACGACTGCCGCCATGGAATGGGCATTTCTAGGGTGTTTGGCATGGAGTGCCGATGATATGATTTTCCCCTTTTTGGACACGTGGGTGGGAGACCCAATGTCGCAAATCAAAGGAATGCGAATACTGAATTTTGTCATTAATTCCGTCGTGGTGGGTGAAGGATGGTGGAAACTTGTCACGATATACGTGATTGCAAAGTCCTACCAGGGTTTGAATGCAAAACAACGACAATCATCCAAGAATGCCCTGGAGCAAACACAAATCAACCTGCAGGGTGTCACGAACCATAATGGTCCAACTGCAGTGAATGGAGAGCACGCCAAAATGGACTAAACGAGAGTTTTGGCATTCTTTGGGAAGCGGCCCTCGGTCTGCTGCAGGTAGAGCAAATATTCAATCGATTCTTCCTCTGCTGTACAATAACACTGTACTGTAAGCCACCAGCTGATCCAGATGCTGTTCTCAGTGTCTGTGCGTTCCTGGCGTCAGTGCTACTACCATGTAGTCGTGCGCCTTCTACTATCTAGGGCATCAGGGAGAACATGGTGTCCAGGATCGGAGTCTCTCACCACTACAAAGTCGCATCACCAACGAGTTTTTCTAACTACAAGCATGCAAGGTGTTCAATAATTGTGAATGCTAGTAAAAATTCCAAAGGTCGTGATAGTGCAGCATACCTACCATACCATTGGTCCTTATATTGCAATATACCAGAATGCAGAAGAAACAAACGCCGTCCACGCAAAACGTCAGGAAACGAGGTGAGCCCACAAGGCAGCACTCAGGGCCTTCCATCCGGGAAACACTTGTCAGTGAGTTGATACATCTTATCCGCATTCTTCTCAAGGACCTTCATTTTCTTTTCCATATGACTAAAGGGATAACCGAGGCCTGCCGATTTGAGATTCGCATACCCCGTGGCATTTGTGAACTCCTCCAGGGAATGAGGCTTTCCATCCTTTAGAATGTCAAACATAATGTCCACCTTGTCGGATTTCGCCTTTTTGCACTGCTTCAAGAGACACGTTTTGAAGAATTCTAGCATGCCTGCATTGTCCTTGCGAGCCGACACCAAGACAACTCCTTCCGGAATGTTGTCCTTGCCTTGGTCCGTGAGTCGAAAGCAACCCTTTTCACTGGACCTTGCAATCCACCCTTTGTTTTTCAAAAGGTCTTGCCAGGCATAAAAGAAGCCGTGCGACCCGCTCTTGGCGAAGCCACATTCCTGGGCTACTTCTTCCTTGGGTACGTCCTTTCGATCCGTTTGAAGCTGTTGACCAAAGTATGCAAGAATCTTATCTTGGACGTCCACCCTGATCTTTGGTTTCTTCTTGCCGCTTGCCTTGGAAGCCTTCTCCTTGGCAGCTTCGGGGGTCTTGTCCTCGTCCTCCATCTCTTCATCCTTCGGACTAGTTTCGGTAGCACCTTCCACGTCACCGTCGTCCATCTCGGAGGCTTCATTCTCCACGTTGAGCTTGTCACGGACGAGTTCCTCCTTGACCTTGTCGGTGGTAGGTTCCTCTGTCTTCACAACATCGAGAACGGCTTCCTCCTTGACCTCGTCGGTGGCAGACTCCTTCTTGACCTGGTCGGTGGTAGATTCCTCCATCTTCACAATGTCGAGAACGGCTTCCATCTTGACCTTACCGGGGGAGGCCTCCTCCTTGACGTTCTTGGCCTTGTCGTGTTCCGACTTGGTTGAACCATTGTTATCCATACCTGTGGGTTCCTCCTTGATACAATCGGACGCCGGTTCCTTCTTGACCTTTCTGCTGGACTTCGCCATGGTTGCACCGTGGATAGAGTTGTAGATGTTCTTTCGTTGCTTCGTTCGGTTCCCGTTCAGAGAAAATAATGTGCAATGACGGCAACAACGAACGCGAGCTTGGCCAAAAGGCTGCAACGAGCACCACGCTGCTGCCTTTAGAACACAGGCCAACACGTTGAGCGAGATACACGGGAACAGGATCCGTTCGGTGCCTCCACGAGCCTTCTCCGTTTCTCGTTTCGAGGATGTGGCGGTCAACTGTTGGATCCCACGACGCCCACGACGCCCACGACGCCCAGAACGCGAGTGTGCGTTCTAATAACCCTTCTGCATTCGTTACAGAATCCCTTCGTGCACAACTAGACTATGCATACTCGTACGTTACTGCACTCAGAAGTAGTAGTCAATTGGTGTTAGTATGAGGTATGAGGTGGGTTGTGGGCCACCGGTTGTGGTATTTTAAAAGGTGGGCGAAGTAGTCTACTAGCTAGGTACGGTACTACGCGTACGGTATCCCGGTCAGCCTATCTTTTCCAGTTCGCACTCCGGTAGTATGCATACATGGTACATGTACCGGTACAGCTGGCTTCTAGTAGCTACCAAATTCCCATCCAGCCAACCGTTACAGGTACCGTAGTACCGGTACCTGGTACCGGTACCGTACGGTACTGTACTAATACCGAGACACCGAGACTGTCACAATGACCTATTTGGGCACTCTTTAAAAGTAAAGTTGGCTTTCCAAAGGTTACGGTACCACCAGAGACCACAGACCATTCGCGAAGTGACGGAAGGATGGAGACAACACCCAGCCAAATCACCACCAATAAGCGATCATATACCAGTTACCAGTACTCAAGAAGGACAACATGGTCAAGAGACAGTATCGACGGCGGCAAAAGCAGCAACAACCGAGCTCGCAGTTTTGGTCCCAGAATGCTCCGAGACTCACCCGTGTCCGTGTTTTCGGGTCAGCGGTAGTGACAGGCTTGATGTGTACCAGCTTGTCGTTTTCCCACCGAAGTCCCCACAGCAGTCTCGAACCCATCGATAGTTTTCTTCCAGTACGGAAAGAGCAAACACCACCACAAGCAGAACAGGCACAAGAGCCGGCAGCGATCGAGTACAACCGTACCAAGTACCACTACACTCCTCCCTCACAGTCATTTGGAGGCCCACATTCTTCCTGTGGCGTCACTGATAACAACAATCCACCCACCTATGAGTCATTCTTTGCCCTGGATTCCAGGTATCGATCCCGTGACAAGGAGGACAAGATTATCTGGCAAAAGTTCTTTGCGTCCATGGGCAAACGGGGCACGTATGTCGAAATGGGGGCATATAATGGCATGCACGAAACCAACAGTCGCTTCTTTGATGTTTGCTTGGGATGGAAGGGACTCCTCATTGAAGCCAATCCCGTCATGTTCCCTGAGGTGCCAGCAAGTCGACCGCAAGCACATTCCATGAGCTTTGCACCGTCCTGCCAACAACCCGACCAGACACTGGAATTCCATGCCACCTTGTGGACCAATGCTGGTGTTGCCGGTCTGGCGAAAGCCTACGAGGGAGAGGAAACGGTCAAGGTTCCCTGTGGTCCACTGCAACCTGTGTTGGAAGATATCTTTGCTGGAGGAGAGGCCATTGATTTCTTCTCCTTGGATGTGGAAGGAGCCGAACCGTTGGTTTTGGAAACCATTGATTTTACGAAGGTGCAAATTCATGTCATGTTGATTGAAGTGGCAAACTCCTTTTGTAAAAAAGAGGACTGTGAGCAGCGCAATCATGTTCGAGAGATAATGAAAAAGGCAGGATATCAACAGTACAAGGGAATGGTCTCTGGTTCCGATGTCTTTGTGCACCCCAACTCACCGTACCAGCTCGCATGAGAAAAAAATAAAAGAATCCTTGGTACGATTGAGTCTGTTGGGCAGTGCTGGGCGGCAAAAGCTGTGGTAGCACCAATCAAGATTCCAAAAGGGTACGGGATCGAAAGACCAAACCGACAATTCTACACTAAGTGTTTGGAAGTGAGTCCATAACCATTTATGCGAGTATCGATAGCAACAAAGATGCTGTACTACATGTACCTGCTCATGAGCAAACAAACTCGCATTACGAATGCAACAAGTTTTGCCAAAAGACCCACGACGACTGAAGGCTAGCTACCAGTAGCAGTAAACTTCATTTCCCTACCGGTAGCACCATTCGAACCACGCGACGACTAAATAGAGGTGACCAAGCTTATTGTACTACTCCGCATCGGAAATACAGCACTGACTTGTGCGTTTGGAGCTGCTGAAATGGGCCCGTGAAAATGGCTGTCCGAGGAATGAGTGAGCAAGCGTGCCAAATGGCTTTTCTAGTTTGTAGGATATGCATGATATAGATGTTCTGCGGTGTGCTCGTGGCCATGGATGCCCTGATGAGGAATAGTTCATCCCGGATCGATACCGGTTGAACCATGCAAGCAATGCAGATACCCACAACACGATGAAACACACCCGTGGTGACAACAGCCAAGTCACCTAGCTAGCTAGCTCCCTACAGCACTAACCAAATAATATTTTTATTGCTATGTCCAGGCAGGGCGCCAAAATCTTTGAAATGTCACAAATCCTATCCTCGGCGGTTGTGCCAATAGCTGTGCTTCAATAGAGTTCTCGCTGCCTGTCCACTACTTCTAGCTAGCAGCTAGCTCAACGATACCGCTGTTGTCCACTTGTAGGAGGATAAGAAGAAGATGGACCCACCTGGGTCAACCGCGGGAGCGTGTACTACTAGTAGTGCAGCCGATACTCCCTCGAGCACTACTAGTACCAAAGCTACCCAGGTGACCAATGACAGTAATAGTCCCCCCGAAGCAATCATGAAAGAAAAGCCCTTTGCGATGGTGGATGCTACCATGATAAAAAACAAGGTGCCACCACCAGAGGAACAAGTTCCCACTCCAAATCCCATGGTGGCCATTGTATCTTCCTCTACGGCAGAGTCGACTGCAGCTTCGACTGGTGGCAATGGCGGCCGACGCTCCAGCAAGCGCACAACGATGACAACAACAACGACAACGGCCCCTCCTCCGGCCAAGAAAAAGCCCAAAACGAGCAGCAAAAAAGAACAAGATTTGATCGACATGGCGTGGATTTGTGTGGCATGTCGGGAAGCCGAATGTGCCATGGACATGACGTCCGACTTGTTAATTTGCGAAGGTCCCTGTCGACGACTCTTTCACACGGCATGTGCCGGATTGGCCCAAATGCCATGTTCGGACGAAAGTTGGACGTGTCACGATTGTCGGGATCAACGGCATCTCTGTGCGTGTTGTCAGGAATATGGAAATGACCAGGAAGATATCTTCAAGTGCCAAAAACAAGAGTGTGGACTCTTTTTTCACGAGGCTTGTTTGAATATGCAAAACATTGCCGTCAAAACAACAACAAATACTAATAGTGCGGCAACTAATGAACCCGAAACTAATGAACACGAAAAGGACGAGGAGGCAACTACAGCACCAACACCCAGATCGGTCAAGTTCACCTGTCCGGCCCACTGGTGTTGGACTTGCACACAAGACGAAACCATGGACGACAGCAATACTGCACAACAAAAGACAAAAACCAAAGGACGACGTCGTAGCCGCACTTCTTCCGTCTTTGTTCCCAAGAGAGATCCCCGGCTCTATTCTTGTCTGGAATGCCCCACCAGTTATCATTTGACGTGCATTCCTCCGTCTTGCAAAGTCCACGAATTGGCCTTGTTGTGTCATGAACATGCCGAAAATCACGAATTGCCGGCGTTGGATATGGAAGCATCGTTCCAAGGAACCGTCGAAGCTGCTGCCGACAAGAAACTGCAAAAATTAAATCACAAACACAACCTCGACAATAATCCTTTGGCGGCCAAGCTCAATCGGAAGCGGCTCAAGCGACGCAAGGCTCGAAATCCATTTTTCCCAGCGGGTGTCGTGGTCGATCGACGGACTGCCCACGAACAAGTCATCTTGTCCAAATTGAGCACCACTACTGCAAAGGCTACAGATCCCACCAAAGAGGACGACGAAATGACTGTGGAATTGATCCTCGGCAACAATAACAACAACAGCAACAACACCAATAGTAGTAGTTCTGCCAGCTCGGATCAACGATTGCTCTTTGGCTTGCCACAAGACATTCAAGAAGAGGTGCATTCCAAACCACCCCTCTACAAACACATTCACTCCCTCAAATACTACCCCGACAGCAAGCCCAAAAAGATTCCTCCCACCAAGGACATTTGCAACTGCGTCGACAAGTGTGATGAACACTGTTTGAATTGGCTCCTCTACAAGGAATGCGTTGGCGAGAAAGGTAGCTACACCAATTGTCGGCTGGGACCCAAATGTGGCAATCGCAAGTTGGGACTCAAGCAACACGTGAAAAAGTGCAAACCCATGCGGGAACAAGGACGTGGATGGGGTCTCGCGGTACAAGAAACTGTCAAACGAGGCGGTCTCGTACAAGAATATCTGGGAGATGTCATTGACGAACCAACCAAAGAGGAACGACTGCGACAGTGGAACCTCGAACACCCCAATGATCCCAATTACTACATTATGTGCCTCAGCAGTGGTTGGTACGTCGATGCCCGAGAAACGGCCAACATGGCACGATTCATTAATCATTCCTGCGATCCCAATTGCATCTTGTGGCGGTTCAACGTGGGAGGGTACATGCGAGATGGGATCTTTGCCCTGCGCGACATTCAGCCGGGTGAATTCTTGAGTTACGATTACCACTTTGATACCAAGCAGGGCGACAAGTTTGTCTGCCGATGTGGGAGTAAGAATTGTCGTGGGACCATGAAGGAGCAACAGCAAAAAAAGGCCGACACCAAGAAAACCAAGGGCCAACTGTGGGAACAAGCCAAGCAAAAGTACGAAAAAGACAAGGAGTATATCCAAAATTACAATGCGCACGAAAAGCACAACGCGACGGTGTGGGCCATGGTTCCTGGAACTAGTAACAGTGGCAATACAAAGGGGGGAGACAAGGTAGAATGGACGTCCAACGGTGTTCCCGAGATTGACCGGTTTTACGCCACTCGCTCCCGCGTCTTTTTGTGGCGAACAGCGGTGCTGGGATCCAATTTTGCGTCTCGCAATGCTCGAATGGAGCGTCGTCGTCGTCGTAGTCGGCAACCATCGCCTGCTGCAGCAACAGCACCCAAGGCTACCATGGACGTGCTGGCCATTTTGGAGCAGCTCAAAGGCGGCGCTTAGATTTGGCAGTTGGAAGGAAGGGATGAGGTACACCCGAGCTTCAAGGAAAGAACAACTCTTTCCGGTGAGGTTTGTACCGGTGCTGCACTCATGTTTAGCTAGCTAGCAAGTCATTCTCTAATCTAGCAAAATGGTACCGTTACTATGGTACTCGCCTGTTTAGGTACTAGCTAGTAACCGACAAGGGCACTGACCTTCAGCCCTCAAACAAACTATCATGTGGCCTGGTTTCGAAAAGTTTAAGCCGCAGCCGATATGCCAATGACCAGCCAAAGGAGAAATACTTGAGAGCGATCTCCACCGATGAGTTCGCAGCCAGAAGCTTCCAAAAGGTCGCCATACATACGGTGCTACTCATCTGGCCTTTTCATTGTCCTCGCCTTCGCTGCATGCATTGCCCAAGACTCAAGGCAATATGAGCCTTTAAGCTGAGCACTCACTCTCCCAAGGGAGACCGCCCTGTCAGCAGAGAACTATAGAAGCACAATGATAGTATCCTCACCATTGGTCGTTTGATTCTTTGCTGCCCTTGGTCCCCATCATTCTTTTGGCCCTCCTCTCAAAGACGGGCAAGGACAGCCCCTCCCTCGTCTTTCCAAACAATTGAATCAGCCAGGGATGCACATAGTGGTGATCATGACACCTCATCTTCTCCAATCATGTAAATTGTGGGAGGGTAATCCATGGCAGAACAGGGTTGTCGCATCTTTTTCAAGCTAGTGTAAAGCTGCCCGGCATCCCAATCTTGCTGTGGTGGTTGACAGACGAATACAATGTCTTGCCATTCCAAGACCATGCCCAATATCCCTGGATTGGATCGCAGGCGCCAGACCGAGATTGGACTGGATTCGAGTAGCAACAATGGGCGGGCTACACTCGACGTTGGTCGCCATAGACAGCTCGCCTCGGCTGGAAGATTGTTCATGGAATGTATCACAAAAGCATCATCTCCAGACAATATAAAGGCTTCCTTTTGGTTGCTGCCAATTTCAGTGGCTGCTGATTTCAGATCGCCCAAAGAAGAAACTTCCCACATCATCATAGAGTCACCCTCTCTTTCCGATTTTTCCATGGTTCGTTCCGAGATTGGTCTGTAGTGGGTCCCTGATCAGCACTGCACCACTTGAATCGAATCGGGAGTACTCGACGATACCAAGAAGGAATCCACGCCTGCTGCCTGAACGGTTTGCAACCTGTCGCAGGGAGGTTCTTGACGTCTGACGTCGACCATGACATGGAGGTAGCCCGGTCGGAGCTGCCATTCCGATCCAGCAGCGGGCGCTGGTTGCCAAGCAGTGGCGCTATTGTGAGAAATCAGAAGAAGTATTATCAGGAGCGGTAGCATAGAGCTCATCGTCATTGTGCTGGATGTCGGATCCTTGCTTGGCAATCGAAGCAATCTGCCGTTCATGCTGCTAGTTGCTGCACGTCAAAGATTTGTTACCATCATTGTGACTGAACGTACAATGACCTACTCACAATAATGCCGGTACCGGTATAACTATGGGACAGTTTGGATTGCGTGGAATGCCATTTTGTTGCAAATGAAAGAGCCCGAAATCACGATTTACATGTAATTGAAAGGGCCGGAAATCACGATTTTATGAATCCAACCAAATTGATCAATTCGAAACCTAAATATAAAACCGAAACCTAAATATATAATCGAAACCTAAATATAAAATCGAAACCAAATTACTATGGTAATTAACTAGTAAAATCAAGCCGAAACCAAAATATAAGATCGACACCTAAATATAAAACCGAAACCTAAATATAAAATCGAAACACAAGTATAAATCGGAATTTGGTGTAAATCGCCATTTCGGGCCCTTTCATTCTGCTTTACATTTCGGTTTCGATTTTATATTTGGGTTTCGATTTTATATTTGGGTTCGGTTTGATATTTAGGTTTCGGTTTGATATTTAGGTTCCGACTTGATTTTAATAGTTATTTACCATAGTAATTTGGTTTCGGTTTTATATTTCGGTTTCGGTCTTACATTTAGGTTTCGATTTTATATTTTGGATTGGAATTGATCAATTTGCTTGGATTCATAAAATCCTGATTTCGGGCCCTTTCAATCATTGCTCTTGGTTTATGCTTCGCAACCATGCTTTCTCTACATGTACCAATGACGAGTCCAGTCAAAAGGCAAAAGGAGCATGTGCGCTGGCCAGGCACTCAGTTTGGTTATTGACCCGAGGGCCAACGGTCAATGTGGTTATTCCAGGTGTCCCCTGGAACTCCAGCACGCAGTGAGACACTTCAAACGAAATGTATCACTTGCAAATCCGAAATATCTCTTACACGATAAGAGGCTTCCAGAACATCCAGCCTCCACAACATTAAAATATTGTGGAATGCTTGGTCAGCTTCCATTTGATATCTATGACATCTAGTCAGACAACTGCGACCACCCCGTGACCTCAACGACCACGGGATCATCATCCACACAGCTACGCATTAGTAACACAATACTGGTGGACAACTCCCCCCAAGCCAACGATGTCAGGAATCGAACCTGTTTCATCAGCTCAGTAACCCCCTTGAAGCCACAGTTACTAGCGCAAACACTGGGTGCTCACGAACCAGCTAGCTATACCATGACAGAGGCTTGATGCTCCAGCGAATATCTTGCACCTATAAACTTCATTTGACCAAAAAAATCTCACTTGAAAATTTCAGAGCGGTAGAATCCAATCGGTTTTTGCAGGAGCGTGGTCTGAGAACGTGGATTATCTTGCCGATTGTACGGTAGAGGTGGGGTTTCCGGTTGCGAAGGTGCGGAAAAGGTCTTTTAGGGATGGGGTACTAGCTAGGTACCGATAACATTGTGCATACTAGTATCCCTTGCATCTTCCTTCCTCTCGTCTTCTTGCCTTCTTCTTCCTTTTGGCGTTGCCTATCGGATCATCATCTTGACGTTGACCAT